TGGCATAACTGGATATCCATCTGCAAAAAACTGAAACAAGACCCATCCCTCACACCGTGCAGAAAAACTAACTCAAATGGGTCAAAGACCTAAATATAAAATTGAAAATAATGAAGATCATGGAAGAAAAAACAGGGACAATGCTAGGAGCCCTAATACATGGCATAAACAGAATTTGAACCATAAGTAACAATGCACAAACATCAGAAGAGAAACTAGATAACTGGGAGCTCCTAAAAAACACACTCATCAGAAGACTTCACCAAAAGACTAAAAAGACAAGCTACAGACTGGGATAAAATTTTTGGCTGCAACAAATCCGATCAGCATCTAATCTCTAAAGTCTACAAGATACTGCAAAACCTCAACAACAAAAAGACAAATAACCAATTAAAAAATGGGCAAAGGATATGAACTGGCACTTCATCAAAGAAGACATTCAGGCGGCTAACAGACACATGAGGAAATGCTCACGATCATTAGCCGTTAGAGAAATGCAAATCAAAACTACAGTGAGATGCCATCTCACCCCAACAAGGGTAGCATTAATCCATAAAACACAAAATAATAAATGTCAGAGAGGTTGGGGAGAGACTGGAACACTTACACTCTGTTGGTGGGAATGTAAAATGGTTCATCCACTTTGGAAATTGATTTGGCGCTTCCTTAAAAAGCTAGAAATAGAAGTACCATACAATCCAGCAATCCTGCTACTTGGAATATATCCTAGAGAAATAAGAGCTGTCACATGAATAGCTAATATGCACACCCATGTTCATTGCGGCACTGTTCATGATAGCAAAAACATGAAAACAACTTAGGTGCCCATCAATGGATGAATGGATAAGCGAATTATGGTATTTTCACACGATGGAATACGCAACGATAAAGAACAGCAATGAATCCGTGAAGCCTCTTATAACATGGAGGAATCTGGAGGACATTATGCTAAGTGAATTTAGTCAGTCACAAAAGGACAAATATTGTATAAGACCACTATTATAAGAACTCAAGGAAAGGTTTAAACACATAAGAAAACATTCTTTGATAGTTACGAGGGTGGGGAGGAAGGAGAGGGTTACTCACTAACTAGATAGTAGAGAAGAATTATCTTAGGTGAAGGGAGGGACAGCACACACTACAGGGAAAGTCAGCACAACTGGACTAAGCCAAAGCTAAGAAGTTTCCTGAATACGACCAAACACTTCAAGGGACAGAGAGTAGCAGGGGTAGGGGTCTGGGGACCGTGCTTTCAGGGGACATCTAAGTCAATTGGTATAAAAGTTTATTGAGAAAATGTTCTGCATCCTACTTTGGTGAGTGGTGTTTGGGGTCTTAAAAGCTAGCAAGTGGCCGTCTAAGATGCATCAATTGGTCCCAACCCACCTGGAGTAAAGGAGAATGAAGAACACCAAAGTCACAAGGAAAGTATTAGCCCGAGAGACAGAAAGGGCCACATAAACCAGAAACTTCATCAGCCTGAGACCAGAAGAACTAGATAGTGTCCAGCTACCACCAATGACTGTTCTGACAGGGAACACAACAGAAAGTAGTTGATGGAGCAGGAGAAAAGTGGGATGCAGAACTCAAATTCTAGTAAGAAGACCAGACTTAATTATCTGAGACCAGAGGAACCCCAGAATGCATGGCATCCAGACCCTCTGTCAACCCAGAACTAAAACCATTCCTGAGGCCAACTCTTAAGACAAAGATTAGACTGGAGTTTGGGACATAAAATGATAACTTATGAAGAGTGTGCTTCTTAGCTCAAGTAGAAACATGAGAATAAATGGGCAGCTGCTGTCCAGAGGTGAGATGAGAAGGCGGAGAGGGTCAGGAGCTGGCTGAATGGACACGGGAAATCCGGCGAGGAGAGGAGGAGTGTGCTGTCACAGTACAGGGAGAGCAATTAGGGTCACATAACAATGTATGTAATAATTTTTGTACGGGAGACTAACTTGAATTGTAATCTTTCACTTAAAGTACAACAATAAAATTGGAAAAATTTAAAAAAGAATCAATTTGAGCAATTCAGTTGTTTTTTCATTTCTACATCGTCTTTTGTCTTCCAGTCACTTTTGTATACAGCTGCTTTCAGCATTTGTCTGCTTTACCATGTTAAATAGATTTTGATGCCCCAACATCATAGAAGATAAGAAAACATTATTTTATATATATTATACATACATTTTAGCAAAACAGGATTGTCCAAAATCTTATCACAAAATACTTTGTGTGAAGAAGTGCTTCCTGTTGAATGACTGATTGAATGAGAATACCATATTTTCTTATAAACATATTGTTCACTCATCAATTCTTGAGTTGAGAAAATTCGTCTAGGATATTGTCATCTGACAGCTGAGTGTCAAATTTTGCTTTTATTATCAATTTCACCGTCATCGTTAGAGTCCAGAGTGTTACCTGTTTCTTTGCATTCACCATCTGATTCATCTAATAAGTGTGAAGTGTCTTTCTTTGCCAGTTTCTTCTCTTTGTCACTATGGGCAGAACATGAGGAACACTGAACTCTTAACTGTGTTCAGTGAAAGCTTAAAAAACTCTGTAAAGATGTTGTCTCCAGATTTCTTTTGTATGTTCTTACAGCATGATGTGATACTTTGAGTAAAGTAATAAGAAAAATGAAGGATGAGGCAATAACCAAAAAAACCAACCCGGTTGCTCTCGAGTCAACTCTGACTCATGGCGAACCCATGTGTATCAGAGTAGAGCTCCATAGGGTTTTCCTGGCTGGGACCGTTCAGTTAGCAGCCGAATGCTTAACCGTTTGTGCCACCCAGGGGCCTTGATGATGCAGTAGTGGTGGCTTATTTGACTATTGCATTGTTCTTCTAGGCAATTCCATAAGTCTTAGGTTTTCTTTTTCTTTTTTAGCATAGACTGGAATGATCGATGAGTATTGATGAGAAAATTCCTAGGATGATGAAATAGCAAAATATTTCAAGATACAGAAAATGAGGATCAAGATTCCATAATGTATCTTTGATCTATCAAAGATACCATTATACCCATATTAACTGCAAGATAGAATTTGTTTTATTCTACTTTTTTTTTTTTTTTTAAATAAAATGCTTCTTTGTTCTTTAAAAAAAACTTCCAAAGTTTCTGGTTTGAGTTCAAAAAAGAAAGTCAGAAACTAAAATTGGATCCAGTGAACCCTGATGACTTAATGAGTATTAAGGATCTTTCAAGATACTTGGAAAACAGGTCATATATATCAAAGTATAGCTAGGGATGGAAAATAATATGAAATAAATATCAAGTGAGTGTTGTCAAGGCTCAGAAGAATGACAGTTTTATTAATCCATTCATTAAGCATTCACTGTGTGCTAGGCATTGTCCTTGTAATTGGGGATACAATGGCCTGTTGAAGCTTACATTTTAGTAGAGTACCCTGATAATAAACTAATTAACCAGCCAGTCAAAGTTCAAGTAACAGTAAGTGCTATGAATTAAAAATCGAGTAGGTAAGGGGATAGAGAATACATCACAGACCAGGAAGTCACAGAGCCGAAGCTTCCCTGCTCCTTTGTAATTAGGCTCATGAGAGATGGACCAGGGAAACACGCAGGAGTTGCCATTTGACCAGATACGGAAAGAAATGAGATAGGGAGCCATGTGGGGGAAGTGGAATGTAAAAAACAAATGGCAGTAATGTTTTCTGTTCTAAAAGGGGGCTTTAGCCCCTTAATTGAGTGGAACTGTCCTACAGCCTCAGGGTTACCCAGAGTGCAAGTAAAATCAGCCTCTGTTGTCTTTGTCAGCTTAGTGTCCTAGGATGTGCTACCGCATGAGAAACGTGAGCATGAACTTCACACACACAGACCTCCTTCCTCCGCTGCCTAACCTCTGAAACCTGTCGATCTTGAGTGTATATAAAATACAGCGATTTTTCATTCAGATTTTATACTATCCTGCCACTGGTAAGCATGCAGCCTCAATTTCCACATTTGTAAATTGGGAATAATGCCCACCTTCCAAGGTATTTGTGAAAATAATAGACAACATGCATCAAATATCTGACACATACTAAGTGTTTGACAAACAGTAGCTGTTACTACTCACCATTGCAGTTAGTTCATGTATATCTGTCTAAAGACGTGGTAACCAAATATAGATGTTCCCCAGATTCTTCAAAGCCTAAGTGAGCTTCAGTCTTACGAAAACTATCCCATAAGACACATAATAGAAAGGAGTCTGGAGTCCTGTTATTTAGAGATCAGAGAAAGCACAGGCAGAGTTGTGGTGGGGTTTATTTTGGCCTTGTTTCCTATCTCAGCCCTTAATCCTGGTTATAGTGATTCTGATCACAAGACCTCCTTTGCTAAAGAAAAGCTGGGCCATCAAGCAGCCCAGGATGAAGCACACAATTCACACCTTCAGTAACAGACCAGGGAATGGCCTCCCATCTGAGATGCCCCTGGTTTATGTTGGGCTCCAACTGTTGCAATTTTGGACTGATGGGAACCCCAATCAACATCATGGTGGCAAAGAACTAGGTGTGCCTGTCATGGCTGTCTTGTTTCCGAAGGACCCACAAAAAAGGTAGCTAAGGTAGGAATGTGTGGTGATCCAGTCTGCCAGCACTAGGAGTGACATATTACATGGATAGGAGGACCATCCTGGCTCTCTGTAGGATATCAGTCCAGTGGTTCTACCTCAGAGGGGTCACCACTACCTCCAGGTGGTCCTCCTACTGGCAGGAAAACAAGGAACAGGTGCAGGACATTACCTGGTGTTACGCATAGCTATTTCCTGGTGGTAGGGATGGGCATGGTGTTAGAGGTGATGGTGGTGCTGGTGCTGGCAGTAACAGATGGGTGAATGCTAGCTTGCTCTGGAGTGTTCTAAGTTATAGATAGATGCATTTGTGGAGCTCTTGATTCTTTCCTATAAATTCCACTTTCCATATGGAATCTTTTCCCTTTCGTGTGAGGAATATCCTTTAGCATATGTTGTAGTGCTGTTCTGCTGGCTACAGATTCTCTCACTTATGCATGTATGAAAAGTCCTTATTTCACCCTCAATTTTGAAGGATATTTTCACTGTATATAGAATTTTGGGTTTATAGGGTTTAGTTTTTTTTTTCTTTCCACTCTTTAAAGATGTCAGTTCTTTGCCTTCCGGTCGCCATCCTTTCTGAGAAGCCAGCAATTATTTTCATCCCTGTTCCCCTGTACAAAATGTGTCTCCCCCTTCTGTGTTCCAGTGTACACAATGTGTCACCCCCCCCATCGGTGTTCCCCTGTACAAAACGTGTCTCCCCTATCCGTGTTCTCCTGTACGAAATGTGTCTCCCCCATCCATGTTCCCCTGTACAAAATGTGTCTCCCCCGCTTCCGTGTTCCCCTATGCAAAATGTGTCTCTCCCTATCTGGGTTCCATTGTACAAAATGTGTCTCCCCCCGATCCGTGTTCCCCTGTACAAAATGTGTCTCCCCCCATCTGTGTTTCCCTGTGTAAAATGTGTCTCCCCCATCCGTGTTCCCCTGTACAAAATGTGTCTCCCCCATCGGTATTCCCCTGTAGAAAATGTGTCTCACCCATCCTTGTTCCACTGTACAAAATGTGTCTCCCCTCATCCGTGTTCCCCTGTAGAAAATTTGTCTCCCCCCATCCGTGTTCCCCTGTACAAAATGTGTCTCCCCCCATCCGTGTTTCCCTGTACAAAATGTGTCTCCCCCATCCGTGTTCCAGTGTACAAAATGTGTCTCTCCCCGATCCATGTTCCCCTGTACAAAATGTGTCTCCCCCATCCGTGTTCTCCTGTGTAAAATGTGTCTCCTCCATCCGTGTTCCCCTGTAGAAATTGTGTCTCCCCCATCTGTGTTCCCCTATACAAAATGTGTTTCCCCCCATCCGTGTTCCCCTGTACAAAATGTGTCTCTCCCCATCCGTGTTCCATTGTACAAAATGTGTCTCCCCCATCCGTGTTCCCCTGTACAAAATGTGTCTCCCCGCATCCGTGTTTCCCTGTACAAAATATGTCTCCCCCATCCGTGTTCCCCTGTGTAAAATGTGTCTCCCCCATCCATGTTCCCCTGTAGAAAGTGTGTCTCCCCCCATCCGTGTTCCCCTGTGTAAAATGTGTCTCCCCCATCCATGTTTCCCTGTACAAAATGTGTCTCCCCCATCCGTGTTCCCCTGTACAAAATGTGTCTCCCCCATCCGTGTTCCCCTGTGTAAAATGTGTCTCCCCCATCCATGTTCCCCTGTAGAAAGTGTGTCTCCCCCATCCGTGTTCCCCTGTGTAAAATGTGTATCCCCCATCCATGTTTCCCTGTACAAAATGTGTCTCCCCGATCCGTGTTCCCCTGTACAAAATGTGTCTCCCCCCATCCGTGTTCCCTTGTACAAAATGTGTCTCCCCCATCCGTGTTCCAGTGTACAAAATGTGTCTCCCCCGATCCGTGTTCCGCTGTACAAAATGTGTCTTACCACTCCCCTCCCACCCCATTGCTTTAAATAATTTACCTTTATCTTTGGTTTTCAGCAGTTTGCCTGTGACGGGCCTAACTGCACACATTTAAAGTGTACAATCTGATAAGCTTTGACGTGTGTATGTACCTGTCAAATCACAATCAAAATAGTGAACATATCCATCACCCCCAAAAGTTCCTTGTGCCCCTTTGTAAGCCCTCCCTCCCTCTCCGCTCCTCTCCTCTGCAGTCCCAAGCAAGCACTTAAACCTGCTCTTCTAGCACTTATATTTTCTATAACTATATATAAACTTACATTTTTTAGAATTTTATATAAATGTAATCATATACAGTATGAACTCTTTGGAGTATCTGGCTTCTTTCATGCATCGTAGTAATTTTGAGATTCATCCATCTTGTGTGTATCAGCAGTTCATTTCTTTATATTGCCGAGTAGTATTTCATTACATGGCTATACCACAATGTGTTTATCCTTTCACCTGTTGATGGACATTTGGGTTGTTTCCAGTTTTTAGCTATAAAAATAAAGCTGCTGTGAACATTTGTGTTCAAGTCATTGCATGGACATACGCTTTCGTTTCTTTTGGGTAAATGCCTGGAAGTGGCATAGCTTGATCAGGCCTCCGCCCTGCTCAGGCAAGTGTTACAAAGCTCTTTTAGCTCTGCCAGTGAGTACCCCAAGGCACCCTAATCTGCCAGTAAGCCTCTGCCCGAAGGTGCTCAGCTACCTAGCTGCATGAGTCGGCACACTTAGCTCCAACAAGTGCCTGGAGGCACCCAACTCTGCCAGTAAGCCTTCTGCCGGAAGGCATTCATCTTTCTCTGTCTGTGGGCCAGGAAGCCCACCATGCTGTCTCCTGCTGGTCTCTCCTGCTGCCATTTCTCTGCCACCAGTTCTCCCTGCCTCCCTGTGTTACATCTCTCCTCTCTCAGTGTCTCCCTTTAAGCCTAGTGGGATGGCAAAACTGATCAATCCCCTTGTTAAGATTCCATATACCTCATTTTGCGTAGTCCCACCTAGTCATGTAATGGGAGTTACAAAGACTGTGGCTAGAAGGGCCATATTAAGTAATTCACTGAACCACAGGCCACCCCCTGGCTCTCCTGGCCAATGGCTCTTTCATACTTGAAGGATTAACTCCCCCTCCCAATCATTTTACTAGTTTAAAACAGTCATTAACAATTAGTCCTTCAGTAGGGCAAAGAGTTCTCAGGGTGAGGTTACTCAGGTCCCAGCCGTTCAGGTCTGCTGCAGGTGTTCATCTGATCTGTTGAGGTTCTCCAAAAGTTGTCTCATCTTCACCTTTCCTGGTGTCTGATAAAATCTAACTGAGAGAAGATTATTCCCTTATTCTGAGCCTCATGAATATCAGCATAGCAAAATCTTTAAGAGACTTTTGGTACAGCCAGTGTACTCCAGTCCAGCAGTGCCTCCCTCTTAGTCCACTCTTTCACAGTTAAAGCTTCTACAATTAACAGTTTTTATAATCACACTTAACCGTTAACAGTCAGTACTCACAACTGAATCATATAATCCTATCAGCATTTTCCCCTACCCTCTCTTCCCCAGACCCATCAGGAATGGAGGAATCTATTCAGTGGGGATCCTCCCTTTTCCCCCTCATTTTGAGTGTAAGCACACTCATGAAAGCGTGTAAACCAGCCACTTCATGACTTTATCTTCCCCTGTTTCAGATAACCAGTGTTTAAGTTGCCCATACCTATCAAAGCAGTACTCTCAGAATCTTCTGTTCCAGTTGGAATTTTGAGCATCTGCATCCATAAGCAAAGTCCAGTCCAGAGCAAACCATCAAATTGCAACAATCGACACCAGCACACGATGTCGAACATCTTTCTCTTCATTTGTCGAGTTCTAATCAGCTCATCCCTGGCCATCCAAGCTAGGTCACAATGGGTACCAGCCGTAGACTCGGGAGTTCACACACACGTCCCTGTACTTCAGACCAGCCAGCCCCTTCTTTTATCCCTAGCCCCCACGGGCTAGGTCAGTGGGCACCACCCATAAGCTTAGGAGTCTACACAATTCCTGGCACTTCTAACCAGCCAGCCCTTTCTTTCTCTCATCCTAGTCTCTGTGGGCTAGGTCAACAGGTAACAACCAAAGTAACCATCTAAGATTCAAAGTTTCACTTCTCAAGCCCCCTTCATTCTTTCACTTCCTAAGTCCCATGCTTCCGTTAATCTGGAGCCATTGCAACAAATCCTGCTCCCGACACCAACTGTAAAAATGACATAGCAAGGCCACCTGACCTTCTCATCTAACTTCACAAGGAGGAAGGAGAATCAAGATCAACAGCCCAAAGCTGATTCCTATGAGGTGGAGGTCATGCCTCCACCCTCCAACCTTTTCACCAATTCTGACACCAGCTGTCCCTCCCACAGCGCTCTCTACTTCTCTACTGAGTTCGTTAATTCATTGCAGTGGCCACACAGAACTCACGGACAATATTCACAATTATGAGGTTTATTTGGGAAGTAACAGGTTACAGTTCAGTTTCAGGAACACTTATTCTTGGATCTGAACAGCCTCTTCTCAGCCATGCCTGCAGGCAGTTTTCTCTCTGGCCCTTGGCTCCTCAGCCCCTTGGCCTGACCTCTGCCCTGCTTGGGCAAGTGTTAAACAAAGCTCTTTGAGCTCCGCCAGTAAGTGTCCCGAGGCATCCCTCTGCCAGTAAGCCTTGGCCTGAAGGCGCTCAGGTCTAGCTCCCTGGATCAGCAAACTCAGCTCCTTCAAGTGCCCAGAGGCATCCTACACTGCCAGCAAGCCTCCTGCCAAAGGTACTCAGCTTTCTCGCTCCGTGGGCTGGGAACACCAGTGCACCGTCTCCTGTTGGTCTCCTGGTTCTGCTGCCGCCGTTTCTCTGCCACCACTTCTCACTGTCTCCCAGCATTACAGCTCTCCCTCTCTGTCTTCCATGTTACGGCTCCTACTCTCTCACTCTCGCTGCCTCCTTTTAAGCCTAGCGGGATGGCAAAACTGACTAATCCCCTTCTTAAGGTTCCATACACCTCATTTGCATAGTCCCACCCAGTCATTTGGTGGGAGTTACAAAGACTATGGCTAGAAGGGCCATATTAAGTAATTCACTGTACCACAGTAGTTTTATATTTACATTTTTAATGAAACTGACAAAATTTTTTCCAGAATGGTTGTACCAGCTGTGATAGGTGATCAGGGATACACAATTAAATAAGGCCCTCTTAGCTTCCAATTTTTCGATCCTCCAGCAGTTGCTACACAGCCACCAAATTGCATCCGAAGCCAAGGAACCTGGACTTCATTATGTGAGGAGGAGAAGTCACTACATTTGTCCTGAAAGTGGGCTCAGGGTTGTTTGGGCAGAGACTTGTGTGCCCTGGGGAACCTGGAGGGGAACTTGGGCCATGGGTAGGCATATTCCCTTGGCTGGAAGGAATTTTTTTTCCTCCGTAGAAGGGTATGGCTGGAAGAAGACTAGAGTGGAGCCTTCTAAAGTGTGGAGTTCAGAACAGCAGCTGCTCTTGCCAGATCCAAGGGCAGCACTGTTCTCATCTTCTAATCTTCCAGATTCCACCATCTTTAAAAATCCATCTCAAGTCCACACTCCTGTGTATCTCCCATCACTGTGGCAGTTTCATGTATCTCCTTCCTCTCAGTTGTATGCTGTTTGCCTTTCTCTACTTCTACATCTCACTTTCCTCATTTGTCTATAAGCTTTTGAGTCAAACACTCAGTCACTTTTTTCTTCATATTTCCAACAAAGTATTGTGTACACAATGGCTGTTTAAAAATGTTGGTTGAGTGATTGAAATGGCCGCATGATGTTTGTTGGTTGTTCTTAGCTTGTAGGCTACGGGTTTAGTCTTGAGAAATTTCCCAGTATACTTCTACACTTACACATGTAGAATCTAGTGTACGGCTATTAATTCCTAGAGCCCTACTCCCTCATCCTATGCTAACTGTTCATCTTCAGCTGGGAAGCCCAGTACTACGCAGACTCTCTGTACTTACTAATCCAGTGTAAGTCCTGGCTTGTTCATCTGATCTTACCTCACTGTCTTTTATGACTACATCCTTGCTAACTATATTAAATAACCCAGACCTAGGGAGGTAATTTTTTTTCAGGTTTTTTTAATTTTCCCAGAATTGGCTTTACTTGTCTGTCATACAGGTCACTAGAGACCCTGGCAGTAAACATTCCCCGAGTGAAGCATGCTTTAATGTGTTTCTATATGCTCATTCTTCCTGGAATGCTCTTTCTTTCCTTTTCCATCTAGACAACCTCCTAGACTCTTTTCAAAAGTCAGCAGCAGCATCAGATTTTCCTGGAAGCCTTCTCTTCTTCCGCCTCTAAATTAAAGTTCCTTTCTCAATACTCTGTAACTCTCTCTCATTATGCTTAAGACGCTGGTACCATAATTGTTTATTTACTTGTCTGTTACACTCTCCAGAATCCCTGGGTGGTGCAAACGGTTAACATGCTCCGCTGCTAACTGAAAGGTTGCTGGTTCAAGTCCACCCAGAGGCACCTCAGAAGAAATGCCTGGCAATGTACTTCTGAAAAATCAGCCATTGAAAACCCTGTGGAGCACAGTTCTACTCTGACACACATGGGGTCGACATGAGTCAGTTGACTCAGCGGCACCTGGTTCGGTTATGCTCTCTAGACTGCAGACTCTGTGAAGATAAGGACCACGTCTCCTTTGACTCTGTGTTTCAGTGTCTAACGTGCTGGCACAGGTAGTGCTCAAATAATTGGTCAATGAACCAATAAATGAATGAAAGAATGGAATGCCTCTTCTTGTTTCTCGTTGTTCGTTCTCAGCTCTCTCTTCAGATTTTCCTCCCTCTTAAATCTCCTTTGCACTCCTTCTTTTCTTTTGTTTCTGCTCTTCTTCCACTGTAACTACATTTCTGCAAGATTATAGAAGTAATACAAGTCTTGTGACCTTTAATTGGAGTTTTCTTAGCTCTACAGATGTTGGAAAATGGATGTTGAACCTTAACAAACAAACCAAAGAAGTTTAAACATTTGTGGGTGGATGTGGCAATGGAAGGAAGATTTCATTGGTTGTGACAGTGGGCATGTCAGTAAGGTTAACAGTTTTTGCTCAAGCAACACAGATCATTTTCTGTCACGCTGAGATGTTAGTAATGACTTTTCTTAAGGCTGGAGGTCTCCAGCCATGTCCTGCATGGAAACCAAAGATAAAACCACTGTTTAAAAACTTCAAGCTTGGTTTAGCCCAGATACTTTATAGAGATATTATGAAATAATGAAAATAAAGTTCCTAATGTACTGGCCAGAAATAGTAAGTGCTAATCAGTGTTGGAGCCCTGGTGGCACAGTGGTTAAGAACTCGGCTGCTAACCAAAAGGCCGACAGTTCTAATCCACTAGCCACTCCTTGGAAACCCTATGGGACAGTTCTGCTCTGTCCTGTAGGGTCACTATGAGTCAGAATCGACTCGATGGTAACGGCTTGGGTCTTTGGTTTTCAGTCAATGTTGGTCTCTAATCCCCATCCTCCTTCCCAAGCAAAGTGTCCAAAGACCTTTGTTTCCTTGAAATCTATCTCAGGATAACAGTTAGGAGTAAGGAATAGGTCTAAATAGTATGTGCCAGTCACTAAGCGTGCCCATTCTCTCTTCAGATAGCAGTAAATTAATTCTCCTGTTTGGCACTTCCATTTGCTTTGAGAGGGAGACGCTTTTGTTGTCTTGACTGCACTCTAGGTCTTGAATATGGAGCATGTTCTTTATGAGCTTCCTGAGGACCATTAACCTCAGCTGACGTATAGCCAGGAACCAATCCGCTGGTTCCAAGAGCCTCATCAGATCCTTTCCTAGGAACACTGGGCTGTGCTCTGTCTTTTCCTCCAATTCCTGGAGGAGGTTCTCAGGACCTGGAGCCTAGAGGGGTCTGTGTAGCAGGAGTGCAGACCATCTTAGCAGGTACTTTGAGCAATATAAGCAGCATGAATAGGAGCTACACCAAGAGGCAGCAGCCAGCTTATCAACTTTAAGGTTCTTAGCAGCAGTTTTCCACTCCCAGCCTGTTTAGTGTAATATTAAATCTTTGTTGATGTATAAAAAATGTTTCGAAAACAAAACATAAAGGCAATAGAAAAAAACAGGTATAGCGCCCAATTTCTTTACTTGAAGTCCTCTTTAAAGCTTTAGATTGAGCTTTTTGAAATACAGTTCAGCTGAATTGTTTAAAATACACACAGCTGCTGTTAATGGAACAATAGACGTTGCTTATGGAACAGCTTATGCCTCTAAGCATTTAGGTTAATGGAATTAAGGTCATAACTTTAATAGCAGCCCTGGTGGTACGGTGGTTAAGCGTCCTGCCAGCCTGGACCCTTGGGCCCTGGCTGGGGAACCAGATCCAGAAGCAGTTTGAATCCACCAGCTGCTCCTTAAAAACCCTGTGGGGCAGTTCTGCTGTGTCCTATAGGGTCACTTTGAGTCGGACTGAAAGGCCACGAACGGGTTTGTTTTTTTTAACTGTTCAATGTTTAAATGCATCAAGCCTGTTTTCCAGGAGCCTTCTTGCCTAAGGAAGGCTTGTGAAAGGTAAGGGCTGCCTTTACCTGTCCACTTCCCTGACATCTGTGCAGTCAGAAGTCCTTGGAGCAGGGACCTTTGGAGGTTCTGTCAACTACATGCTGTTGCTTTAAGAGTTTTCCAAAAACCCACTTAAATCGTTTTTTCTTTATCTTTTAAGGAGCATCTAAAGGCTGTTGATGATGAAATCAATGCTTTTTTGGACTATATGTTTGGACCTCGAGGTGAGTGAGCTACTTGAAAACTTAAGGTAGAAGGAACACAAGAATGCATTTAATTATAGAGGAGGCTTATATAATTTCTGATGTCTTGAAAATAACATAGTACTTAGCATTTAGAAATTTAAGTTTCCTCACCTCTGATACACTTCTCCCAGAACATATTGAAGGCCCCCTGTTTCTCCTGCTCAGCCTCTCCTAGGATTAAAGAAGTTCCATGGAGCAGGAAGCAGGAACGGAATGAAATACAGCACTTTCCTCTGGTGTCTGTCTGGCTACCAAAGCCAGGTTGTAGCTTTCCTTCTAAATTGTTTCACTTCTTTCTGTCTCCCCAGCCTTCACTTCTTTCTTCTCCTCTCTCTACCATCCGTTCACCTACCTTCCTCACAGTCAGTCATATCTCTGCCCTTGTAGAGCTAGATCCATGCCCACTCAAGATGCCTGAGCTTCCTCTGACCAGGGCCACTGGGTTCAGTTTAGAGTCACTCGGTCATTCCTCTGTCACCAGTCTCTGAGACAGCCGCAGTGGCCTCCTAACTAGTCTCCCCGTCTCTCATCACTTGTGACGTGTCAGCCAAAATAATATTTTAAAAACCTAAATCATATGGTGTAGCACTCTAGCCACACCAGTGCCTGTCCAATGCCCTAAGATAAAAACCAGACTCCCTGTCGTGGATTGTGTACACCTGTTTACATAGCCCTGTATTACACAGCCCTGTCAGCCTCTCCAACTCAGTGAGCACCGCTCTTCCCCGCTCACTTTGACATGGCCACCTTGGATGCCTTTCAGCCCCTCAAACGTGTACAATTCTTTTCTCTGCTGTTCCTGTGCCGGGAATTCCTCCCTAGTATCTCCTCCTCCACCCCACCCCACACACGGTTACCTCCTTCTCAGACTTCAGGTGTCAGCTTCAATGTTACCTTCTGAGATAGGCTTTCCCTGACATCCTGGCTACAGCAGGCCCCTGGTTATTCTCTATCCCAACCTCCGTTTATTTTCTTCATATACTTTATTGTTATTATCATCTCTTTCTCCTATGAGGTCAGGAACCATGACTGTTTCGCTCACCATTTTATCACAGTTTTAGGAACATATTAAAACAAAAAAAGAAAAACTAACAGTTGCCACCAACGCAACTCTGACTCATGGTGACCCCACGTGTATCAGAGAAAAACTGTGCGCCATAGGATTTTCAGTGACTGATTTTTTGGAAGTAGATGGCCAGGTCTTTCTTCAGAGGCACCTCTGGGTGAACTTGAACCTCCAGCCTTTTGGTTAGTAGCCGAGTGTGTTAACTGTTTGTACCGCTCAGGGACTCCAGGTACATATTAGGCGTTTTACAAATAAATGAATAAATTCTAGACAGCATGTCTCATTTTACTTTGAGCCTAGCTGGTTTACAAAAGTGTGGAAAATCCATAATTCTTTTCAGGTTATTTCCTCAGCACTGTTGGGTGTGGGGTGGAGAATGAGGAATTCTTTGTGTTTCTCAAAATCATTAGACACAATCACTTAGATACTTAGGGATCATTGAGACCATTCTCCAGTTTCTGTGTAGGCTCCGTAAACTATTTTAAGTGAATGATTTTTTATATAGTTTTGATGTAATGATGCTCAGTAAACGTAAAGAGTTTATTTTTTAAAATACTTTCACATAGTTTTTGTTTTTTTCATTTTATCTTCATGATGTTCGTGGGACGTAGGCAGAGCAAGGTATCTGTATCTTAGTAATCTAATATTTTCTCTACCCTGTAGTGGTGGTGTAGTGGTTAAGAGCTACGGCTACTAACCGAAAGGTTGGCAGTTCGAATCCACCAGGTGCTCCTTGGAAACCCTACAGAGCAGTTCTACTCTGTTCTGTAGGGTGGCTATGAGTCAGAATCGACTCGACGGCAACGGGTTTGGTTTTTTTTTTTTGGTTCTACCCTATAGTTCTGTGGGTAGGAAAGAGAATGACCCGGTGTAGCAGGCATCACCCTGTAACTCAGGCGTGCTGGATGCACGGAGGAACTGTCATTTCTTTGTAAATACGGCTTTTCCGTTAGAAAGTTACTGAGCCAAGTTCAGACTGAACTTTGCCATCAGTAAGGTCATGTGCGATCTAGAATTATGCAGATATGGGATCAATTAAGGATAGGATCGTAGATGTTTACTCAGCTGGTCATTTTTGTGAAAGTTTCCTTGTAGCAAGAAGATTGTAAAATTGACAGTTGATAGCTAAATCAAACGAACTGCTCAGTGACAAGTTTTTAGCATCTAGGCCAAGAATCCTTTTCTCCTTCCTAAAAGTGAGAAAAGCATAAGTTGACTGGCAGGCCACCTAGTAAACTTCTAGGTGGCCTCTAGTGTTTTCTGCTTTTACCTACGTGATGTTAGAACCATCAAGGGATATTGCTCTGGGCACATGCCTGACACAGGTGCAGAGCAAACAATTTTCAAATCCCAAAGGTAAGTGTCATTACAAGTATTTGTTCCCATATTTTGGTTGGAACAATTCTGATCATCCTTGACAACTGCAGCCAACATTTACAGGTCCGTGACAAAAGAGAAAGAAAAACTTCAGTGTTGTATTGGTTTTGCAACATGCTCTTGACTCAGTGTGGCAACTGATACACATTTGATGTTTTCTCTTACCTCAGTACTGAGTGGATATAAGTTATAAGTCAGATGGGGGAAACATAAGCCCTAATCTTCTGTCTCCTGGAGCATACGCTGTAGTTGAGGAGGTAAAGCTGACACATCTGAAATTGCTGAGAAGCAGTTAAGCATGAAACCATGTGTACGAGATTCTCAGAACTGCTATAACAACGTACCACAACCTAGGTGGCTCAAAACAACAGAGATTTATTCTCTCACAGTTGTGGAAGATTCCATAAGAGAATCTTTTTGGTGCCTCTCTCCTAGCTTCTGGTGGTTGCTGTAACTCCTTGGTGTTCCTTGGCTTGTAGAAGCAACACTATTATCTCTGTCCCTGTTTTCATATGGCCTTTTAGAACTCTCTATGTCCCTTCTTACAAGGACAGCAGTCATGGGATTTGAGGCCCACCCTAATCCAGTATGACCTCATCTTAACCTGATCACATCCATAAAAACCCTACTTCCAAACAAGGTCACGTTCATAGGTACTGGGACTTTGGGCTTTAACGTATCTTTTGAGGGGATACAATTCAACCCACAGCACCATTGAAATAACAGGAGGTAAAGTAGCAGCTTACCTTTTTATTGCCAAGTTAATTAACTTTTATTCTACGTAGCTCAGTGTTTCTCAGATGTAAGCTGGGGATAATAATAAATGGAACCCACTGCCATCAAGTTGATTCCGACTCATAGTGACCCTGTAGGGCAGAGTAGAACTGCCCCCATAGAGTTCCAAGGCTGTAAATTTTTACGGCTGCCACATCTTTCTCCTGCAGAGCAGCTAGTGGGTTTGAACCACCAACCTTTCCGTTAGCAGCCTTGTACTTTAACCACTGTGCCACCAGGGCTCCTTGGGATAATACTCTCATGTGTATAATAGGGTTGCTTTGAGAATTAAATAAGTTAACACGTATAAAAGGCTTTAGAACAGTTCCTGGCCCAGAACTAGTGCTCAGTAAATGTGAGTTATAACACATAAGGCATAAAATGGTTGTTTTTATTTTGCTATGAAAATGAGGAGCTGTAGTTATGAAGGAGCAATAGGAAATGTCTCCCTTTAGAAGGTAGGGTCTTTATCTGGGCATTAAAGGATGAGTAGGATTTACACATGGAGATGGACACATATTTATGACAAGTGCATGAACTAGTTGTATGAACAGTCCTATCTGTGAGTCACATGAATGAAGAGAGGCACTCTGTTCTCACCTTTTCATCTCTACCACAAATAGAAGAACTGTACAGAGTAAGTGACTGGACAGGTAAAACTGGAGAAGACACTTTCCTTATGGAAACAGTAGTCCGTCTGTCAGGTAGCACAGTTGACAGGGTAGGGTAGCTCAAGAAGACGGACTGAAACTATGAGAATGCCAAAGAGAACAAGAAAAGGGCATTGTAGCAACTACTTACTTCACGTGAATTCGGTTAGAATAAACATGGTAACTGTTCCAAAGTAGACATTCAAGAACTGTTGCTTCCCACCTTTTCTTTCTTTCCTTGTGAGTGTTCGGTCAAGCCCTGTTTGCTCCACGAAACCTTCCTAAATTACCCCAGCGATCCCTCTACCCGACTCCATTGCTTCTTCCTCTGAACTCCCATAACCTAAATCCAGTTTACTTAATGATATATCGTATTTGTTCCTGTTGTATTTGGTATGCACAAATAAAATATATATGATAATACTTTACAAACTGAACAGAATTGTTATTATTCAGGATTTTCACTACTGTGTCTCTTTTCAGATTCTCGAGTCAGAGGATGGTTCATGTTGGACTCTTACCTGCCTACCTTTCTCCTGACTGTCATGTACCTGCTTTCAATATGGTTGGGCAACAAATATATGAAGAACAGACCTGCTCTTTCTCTCAGGGGTATCCTCACCTTGTATAACCTTGGAATCACACTTCTCTCCGTATATATGCTGGCAGAGGTAAGTGTTTATGTAGCCAATGCTGCAATCCAGTAACTGGGCAATTTTTAGGAGTAACTAAATTTAACATACCTGAACTATCCAAGATTGCTATCAAAACCATTCTTCAAGACCCCAAGAACTTGTTTCATTGTTGGATTTTATTCCTTCAGGAAGCCTGGAAGACTTTATCTCTAACTTGAATTTTCTCATCTCGATTTAGTCCTTATCTTTCATTGTAATTTAGAATTGCAGTTCAGATCTGAAAGGGCCTTTAAAAATCATGTGATAAAAGTTTCTCCTTTTCCAGATAATGATAATGAGCCTTAGAAATGTTACCTGACTTGCCTGAGAATAAACAGCTATTTAGTAAGAGAGTAATTTTTAAATTGACTTAAGTGTCAGATGCAGTTAGTTTGACTAAAATGCAACTATAAACCTCCTTAAAGTACATTCCCCATATCTTTGGACCACTGTGGCAATGGCAGAGCTGTTTCACAGGACTGACCTCAGGAGGTCTGAGTGGATTCCAGCTCGGCTCTAGCTGCCCACGTGACATCATGCACCTCCCATCCTTTGTAAGGCACCAAGCCCATGTAGTTTCATGAGAGAAAGTAACAGTTGCCCTGCCTATAAAACCAAAGTTTATTTTACTGTACTACAAGGGAAAAGCTAAACATGTTAAATGAGCCGCCTCTAGCAAAAAAAGAGAATGAGAGCAAGGGAGAGACAAAGGGAAAAAAAAATAACAATCTTTCTTAGGGAAGAGTTAAGATAAACTCATTCCTACACGGTATAAATGTCTGTTAATGGCACAAGTATAAACTGCCTTCCTGGTATACTTGAATTCTAAAAGAAAATAATTCCTTGCCTTAAAATGTAGGTTCTCTCACCCATAGAGTTTACTTTGTGAGTTATTCTAATATGCACCATTCTAATAATAGTTAATAGACATTGCCGTATAAGAGTGGACTGAAACTCTGATAATGGGATTTTAGGCATTGTTAGAGTGCAGGAGATGGAATTTGGGGTCAGGAAGGCCATGCTGACAACCCCAAGGTCATATCACAGAGGAGCTCACTGTGTACCTGACTCTGGAAGTATTACCGAACGCAGTGGGTTTGCCTTGTACTCTCGTTAAGAATAACTAAGAGTCAAGTTGATTTAAAGCAAGACATAGTTTATTACTTGTGGCGAGTAAGGAGAGGAGGGGGGATCCTCCACAAAAGCACTCTCTCTCTGAACAGAGGGCTGGGGGTGTAGTTTTATATTACGCAGGAAAGGAGAAGTCATACGTACCCATTAACTTCATATATATTCAAAAAAAGGGGTCAGGGTAGGATTCTGGCATCAAAGTGGCTGACAGACTTTTCACTTTGGAAATAGATTCCGTCACCGCTCAATGACATATGTCTGGTGATTTGGGTTCCTAGGCAACACTTATGGGATGAGGCCATCTGACGGTCAACCTGGTCTCTTACTGCACATGCCTAGGATTCTACTTCTAATTGGCTGATCTGAAAGATAGCTACAAGTGGACAGATTAGGAGGAAGCAAACAAAATTTGCATCATTCTTCTTCTAGACAAAATTTTTAACCAACATAACTTGTCATTTAAGGCCTTTTCTGTCTCTAGTTGGTCTCAGCTCCCCGCTGAGAAATTCACTGTTCACTCTTGAGGCGTTTACGGACGGAGTCTCTTCTTCTGAAGCTGCTTCCTGCCAATAAGGGATGCAGGGTTCTACTGATTAGAGGAGTGGAATTCTCTTGCTGCCTGAGCTAAACTATTATATTTTCTATGCATCTCAAAAGGCCCTTCATAGGGTGGCTGTGTTTCCTCTTGATCTTGGCGTGGAATAGGATGGAATCCTCGAGCAACTATCATCTGAAAGTGAAACTTTTGAAGTCTGAAAGTAATTTGACCAACAAGTTGAATAAACGGGGACCAAAGAGGAACAATAGTAAAATAGCGAATAAGGGTCCCAGGAGAGGTAGGAACCATGTGACAGAGGGAAGCACATTTTTTACTGCTTGTCATATGTCTTGGGCTCCTGATTCCTGGTTAAACTTATGAAGCCACTCAGCCCGGTCAGGTAGATTTTTTGCTGTAATTTCTGCCTGTCCTGTAGTATCGACATAGGTGCAACAGCTAGTGCTGGCAACTGCGCAGACTCCCTCCTGCTCAGCCAGAAGGAAGTCCGGAGCAATTCGATGATCTAAGACTACTTTAGCCAGTGAATTTAGGACTAGGTTGAGGGCTCTAATTCCTTCTCCTGAATCTTGGGCAACTGTCTCCGTGATTGCAGTGATGTTCGATATTACTGTTCCCTGATACAGGAACCCATCTGTGGTTCCTGCAGTGCTTCTAATGAGGGCTACTATCCTTGTTATTATTGGCCCTATTCCTCCTTCTACCTGATTAGGAGCTCTATATATTTGAATGAGGTCTGGGTTGGGATGAGCAAACCCAATGGTACATATTCCATCTTCATGTAATGCCTTGATGTATGCTAGCGCAGTGTTCCCACAAAGGAACATCAATCCTTTTGGGAGACACACATAGATAATACCTGTTGAACTGGTAAACAAACTAGTATGATTAAGGATCAGTTTTAGCCAGGACTCTTTAAGTGGTGATAGTGTAACATTGACTGCATTCAGTGGGTTGCAACCAGGGTAGGTTCCTAATGGGCATATTTTATTTTTGTTCCAGATTTTATTGACCTTATTTCTGAAACTAGTAAAATTATCATTTATCCTTTGGAGGCACTGGGTTGTTGCCCCTCGGGGGCCGTTAATCATCATGTGAAGGGAAAGGCATTCCCAGGACACTCGGGGCGGGGGGTGGGGGCACCTGTACTAGTTCGGGAACAAAATTGGTCCACATTAACAAGTCCCAGATTTGGAAGCAGGAGTTATTTTCATGAAGTACAGGTGTGGGAGATACTTGAAATGGAGATATAGGAAGGGGTTGCTTTGTCCCAAAAGCTGTTCCAAAGGCTGTCAGATTAATATTGTGTATGGGGGTGGACAGTACACAAGGAATCTGGGCTCCCTGTTCAACAGTTGTTGGGGTCTGATAACAGATGCAGCAATGTGTTAAATTGTTTCCTGAAGCAATGTCTTGGGAAGCATTAATTAAATAGTTGGCATTACTGGATATTAAAGCTGAATGGGTTAATGGAACAGCTAAGCTTGCTGTGGCCATGTTAAGGAAGATAAGGAGTTTTTAACTAGGACTTCCCATGTTAATACTAGATGGTGATTTTTCCCACACCTAGTGTCAGCACCAACTCATTAAAGCATATACTAAGGCACATAAGTTGGTCCAAAAAAGGGGAATCACACAGGCTGCAGCTAAAATAAAGATTAAGAGAATGGCCAGAGTGAAGACAACTCCCAGTATTTCTTCTACACTTATCTTCATGATACTTATCTGTGGATCCTTGTACTGTCTTTTAAACAGCCACTTGAGGACTTCAACCAGTTCACAGGTGTAGGAATCTTGGCTTGTAGGAAGTTTGTCAGGCTATCCAGGTGGAGAAAAAGGCTTGACCTGGGAGTGATGGACCCATGGAGTGACTCCTAATCTGAGGGCAGAGGGGGTTGTTAACAATACTTGGTATGGGCCCACCCATTTTTCAGTCAGTTGGCCTGGGCTCCCTTCTCGCCAAGTCTTTAAAAGTACTAAGTCTCCTGGCTGGAAATTAAGCAAGTCACCTTTTGTAGGTTTGGGGAGTATCTGGTTGCCATATTCTTAGAATGCTTTCTGTACTTCTCCCAGATTAATGATATATTTTAATGTTTGTTTTGTCTCTTGATCTAAAAGCTCATTTACCTTGAGAAAAGGTCTTCTATAAGTCAATTCAAATGGGCTTAGCTTTAGAGCTCCTCTGGGGGTGGCCCATACCTTAATCAGAGCAATGGGTAACATTTTAATCTAGATTCCTTGAGTTTCTTGGCATAATTTTGCAAGGGTCCTTTTTAAGAGTTTGGTTCATTCTCTTCAGCCTTTCCTGAGGACTGAGGTCTCCATGCTGAGTGGAGCCTATATGTGATGTTTAAGGATTGGGATAAACTCTGAGTTATCTTAGCCATAAAGGCAGGGCCGTTGTAGCTCTGGAGGGACTGAGGCAGGCCGAACCTAGGTATGATTTATTTTAGAAGCCATTTGTGTACTTCTGTAGCCTTCTCAGCCCTGGCAGGAAAGGCCTCTACCTGTCCTGTGAGGGTGTCTGCGAAATCCAACAGGTATTTGAATCCTTTCAACGGAAGTATCACCGTAAAATCTATTTGCCAGTCCTCCCCTGGGTATGTTCCCCGATGTTGTACAGGTTTTATCAAGGGAGGAGGTACAGGGTGAGTATTTGGATTGTTTCTTAAACATGTCTCGCAGCTTTTAGAAACCTGTTGTATTACCTTTTTCAAGTTCCTTCCCTGTATTAGAGTTTTAAGCTGAAGATGTAATGTCTCTTGGCCATAATGACTGGCCTCATGGGCTGCCTTAACCACTTTCCAGAGTTGGCTGCCAGGGGTGTAGACCCTTTTATTTTCATTCTGATACCAGCCATCGATCTGTTTCTCAAATCCCTGAGTTTCTGCATCCTGAATATCTTCTGAGCTGTACTGGGATTTAAGGGTGGAAAGGCTAATGTCAGGAATGAGCGCCATCTGAGTTACTGGGGACTGTACCTGAGCTGCTCTCTTAGCTACAGCATCTGCTTTGCTGTTACCCCATGAAACTGGGGTATTCTTTTTTTGATGTCCCCTACAGTGTAAAACAGCCACTTTAGCAGGTTGTTGTACTGCCTCTAGAAGTTCCAAAATGAGACTACCATATTTAATGGGTGAGTTCTTTGAATTTAAAAGCCCCCTTTCTTTCCGAATAGCCCCATGAGCATGGATGATGGAGAAGGAGTATTTAGAATCTGTATATATGTTAATTCTCTTGTCTTTTGCTAATTGTAGTGCCCAAGTGAGGGCGACAAGCTCGGCTTTTTGTACAGAGGTTTGGGGAGGTA